GATGGGTCAGGATGGAGGGGGGAGAGGAGCGGGCTGAGAGCTGGAAACCCCAGTTGGCAGCTTGCATGGCATGTCCAATGTGCCCCCAGGCATGGGGACAGGCCCCTGGCAAAGACACGATGGCAACGCCACCCCTCACACCCGCATCGACTGGGACTCAGCCAGGGCAGGGCACCAACTCAGCCCTGCAGAGGCACCAACCTTGGAGCCACCGGGAAAGGGCTGGGTGAGCCACTGCCCATGGACAGGTGCCACAGAGGAAAATACGGCCCTTTAGCGAGCCACACTCCTGCTGCCAAGTTGATGAGAAGGGGCACAGGACAGTGAGCATAATTTTGCTGTCATTTGAGTTGGCCAGCCCAAACCCAGCCCCTGCAATGCCACCCCCTACACATGCCCCCTCCTTCTGGGCAGACCAGCAAGGATCCCTGTCTGCAAGCCATTGCCACAGAAAGACGGATGGATGCATCCCTGTGAGACACGGCTCAAGAAGGGAGAGGGGAAGGAATGAAACCAGGGACAGATCCACGACAGGCATGCCACAACCACCTGGAGCCCAGAGCAACATAGGATGCCTCTGGCAGAAGGGCCCCAATCCTGGGCAGTTGACAGCTCTGAGGTCAGGGATACTCCCATGCGCCATTCCCTTAGCTCTTCATGCCAAGGCCAAGGCAGGGGCAAAGAACAAGCCCTAATGGAGCAGCAAAGCTATAGGCAACCCCCTCCACCACATACACACACGCTCCCTCCAGCACACACACTCGTGCACATGCACACACTCCCTCCAGCACACGTGTGCACCCACCTACCCACACATTCTGTCCAGCACACACTCACGTACACACATGTATACTTCCTCTGGCATGTGTGCACACACCTACCCACACAGTCCCTCCAGCACACACACTGGTGCGCACACGTGCTGTCTGGTCACAAACTATCTGACCCCATCAAGCAATCCCTGCAGCAGCAGTGCTCTAGGCATTGCCAGCCTTCCTGGGTGACATGGGAGCCTCATAAGCGCTGCCTTTACTGGGACAGAGCCTGGACCCCGTAGCTGAGTCCTGTCTCATGGGTGGGTACAGACAGGGAGGGTGAACACTGTAGCGGGCCAGTAGGGGGCGCTCCTGCGTTGAGCCGCCCACCTCCCTGCGCCCGCCCACCTTCCAGGCTCCGAGTGCCTCCCTGGGGTGCCTCCCGTCCGGCCGACCCCTTCCCTGGAGCACCCCCGCTAGCCTGGGGGTCCCGCTGCCACCATCCAAGGCTCTGGACTCACTTCTGGCTCTGCGCACCTTGGAAAACACAGGCCTGATCGTCCAATGGGTGCTAGACCCA